ATAGCGTCGGCTTTTCTAACACTAACTTAGTTTAAGTTCGGCCCAGAAAAGCCAACACTATTATTAACATATAACGCCATCTTTTGCAACATTAATTTAAATTAAGTTAGTGTTAAAAAAGCCGACGTTATATTTCTATGCTTTGGGGGAGTTTTAGAAGCTTAACCTATAATTTTTTTCTCTTTTTTTTCACTGAACTTTCTTTCTTCTTTATATTTTACTAAAATTCTATCTTTAACTTAAATAGCTCCTTAAGCACTCCTCCACATCATTCAGTTCATTTAAAAAGCTAATAATAGTTACATAAGTAATTCAAACAAAAATATAAAATTCAATAATTATCTCATATGATCAAACACTTACAATTAAACATATCATAAAAAATTAAACAAAACACTTATAGGTATGCAAAAAAACCAACTTCTCTTTACAATTACAAGTCATCCACATATCAACCATGAAAGTTAAGTTTCCATGAACCCTAAATGCTATGATCTATTTGTCTTTCTTTTTTTTTACATGTTTTCGTGGGTTTTGGTTTGGTCCCCCCACTTGTACTAATACTTTTACTTTCTTTTATTCTTTAGTACATTTTGATATGCTGCAGATGATTGGTGTGGATGAAGGTGCTAACTTGGTTAGGATCTCTTTTTCCACACAGTGATGCCTTTGCATATCTATTTTTTTCAAAAAAAATGAACCCTAAATGCTAAAACTCATAAATAATTCAAAATTTAAATTTCCATGAATCCTAAATACTCAAACTCGTATAAACAATTTAATTTGTCAAAACAATCAATCAAGACAAAAATTACAAAACTTTGGGGTATTCATAACCCATCCTAGAAAATTAAAATTGGAATTAAGGGATACTCCACTACTTGTTATATGAAATTGAACCCATGAACAATATAACCTATTCTTTCTTACCTAAAAAGATGATTTCACGAAGGCAAAGTGAAATTATAGATCACTCCTCAAATGTCCCGCTCCTTCATTTTGTAGCTCTGATAAAACAATTTTTTCAAGATAAAAAAAAAATTAAATTAAGCATTAGAAAAAAAAGATAAAGTCTTAAAAATCCTAATAACTCTAAGGATGAGTTAGTCTACCCAAACTTTTGTTTTCAGTGAAAGCCCATAATCTCATTAAACTTTATAAAAACACCTCCTATTTTCAGCCCACTACTTCCAAAGTAATTATTATTTCATTAAAATCATAAAGTAACATATTTAATAAATACTATTAATATGTATAAATTTTTAAAAGAATATTGAAGTGATACATCATTTACCATATGGGATTAGTCGTAGTTTCCATGGAATAACTAGAAGAACTGATGAAGTCGGTCGATGTTGTTTGACTAGAGTAGATTCTTTGATCTTCTTCCATTGTTTCATTTGGATATAGAGAAGGCTTTGGAGGCATTTCCAGGCTTTCTAAGTCTCCTTCAAGCATTTCGACTACTTTGCTCATTGAGGGACGGTCATTTGGTTTCAATTGTATACACCAAAGTGAAACTATGATCATTTTTTTTGCTATTTTATTTTCTTCCTCGTTGACATCTTCCATTACTATATCTTTCTCTTTTTCAAGTTGATTATAAATCCAAAAAGGAAAATAAAGTTGGCTTGAACGCTCTACATCAAGACTTAGATTTTTTCTCCTGCTTGTCATCTCCATCAAAAGCATTCCAAAGCTGTAAACATCAGCCTTGTGTGATACTCCCCCAATATTCTTGTAAAACAATTCTGGAGCCATATACCCAATCGTTCCCCTTGCCGCTGTCACGGTGACAATGCTATTATCTATTGGATATAGTTTTGCCAATCCAAAGTCAGAGACCTTTGGGGTGAAATTTTCATCTAGTAGGATGTTATGGGGTTTGATATCAAAATGCAAAATCTGCATCTCACACCCATGATGGAGATAAGCAATCCCTCGAGCTACTCCAATTGATATATTGTATATTTGCTCATAGGTTAAATGTATACTTTCATCTTTAGAAAAAATAAGTTTGTCAAGAGATCCATTAGACATGAATTCATAAACAAGAGCACGTTTTGAACCCTCAACACAATATCCAATTAGTTGTACTACATTTTGATGATGTATTCTTCCAATTGTTGCAACTTCACTAATAAAGTCTTGCCCTTTACCTTTTGACACTGTATACACTTCTTGACAAACTCAGCACAATCTCCTTTTAAAGTCGGCCAGTAATAGCCGGCTCGTAACACTTTTGCTGCCAAGGTTCGAGCCCCGGAATGAGAGCCACAGATACCCTCATGGACTTCCCGCATCACATAGTCGCCCTGCAGGTCGTCGATGCATTTGAGCAACGGGGTGGAGAACCCCCGCCTGTAGAGTTCATTATTTATTATGGAGTACCGAGCTGCCTGGGTACGCAATTTTCTTGCTTCCATCGGTTCGGTGGGCGACTCCCCTTGGAGGATGAAGTTATGAATGGGAGTCATCCAATTCGGTGTTCCCGCATTGGCTGTCATGCACTCTGCTGCCACACTCGGGGAAGAAACCTCTAGGTGAATGGTAGTTCTCAGTTGTCCCGGTTTCCTGCTGCTAGCGAGCTGAGCTAGCTGATCGACTCGTTCATTGTTGCCTCTTGGAACATGCCTAACTCGGACCTCGGCGAAATCATCTTTGAGTTTCTGAAAGAGGTGGTAATACTGCAACAAATTAGCATCTTTGACTTGAAAGTTAATGTTGACCTGCTCGGCCACAATTTTCGAGTCGGTCCAGCACATGACTTTTCTCACACCCATTTCAGCTGCTAATCTCATTCTGGCCAGTAACGCTTCGTACTCCGCTTAGTTATTAGACGCTCGAAAACCGAAGCGGAGTGATTGTTCAACCGTGATTCCTGAGGGACTGGCGAGGATTATCCCCGCCCCGCTCCCTTGAGCATTAGAGGACCCGTCGACATGCATGGTCCATGACTCGTCTTCAAAACTACCTGGGGGGTTGAGTTCGTTGACGAAGTCAACCAAATGCTGCGACTTGATAGGTCCCCTCGGCTCAAAAGATATGTCAAATTCTGAGAGCTCGACCGAACAAGCCATCATTCTACCAGCAATTTCTGGCTTCCGAAGGACTTTCGCAACTGGGCAGTCGGTTCGGACGACTATCCTATGACTTTGGAAATATTGCCTGAGCCGACGGGCGGCGTAGACGAGTGCTAGAGCTACCTTTTCTATCAACTGGTAGCGCCGCTCGGCGTCTTGCAGTGTCCGACTGGTAAAGTATACGGGTTGTTGGTCCCCCTGGTTTTCTTGTATTAAAACAGCGCTTACCGAGTGACTTGATACGGCAAGGTAGGCTATCATATCGGAGTTGCAATCGATTTGGAGAGTACAGGGGGTGAGCTAAGGCGTTGTTTGAATTGCTGGAATGATTCTTCACATTCTTGGGTCCAACTAAACTGCTTTGCTTTCTTTAACAGGGCAAGGATCGGTTGGGATATCTCGGCCAACCGGGGAAGAGGGGGTGAGCTAAGGCGTTGTTTGAATTGCTGGAATGATTCTTCACATTCTTGGGTCCAACTAAACTACTTTGCTTTCTTTAACAGGGCAAGGATCGGTTGGGATATCTCGGCCAATCGGGGAAGAAACCGAGAGAGTGAGGTGAGTCAGCCTGCTAACTTTTGCACTTCTTTAAGAGTGCTTGGACTCTTCATTTCCAATATAGCCTGGCATTTATCCGGGTTCGCCTCGATGCCTCGGCTGGACAACATGAACCCCAAGAACTTCCCGCCGGACACACCAAACATTTTTCGGGATTCAACCTCATTCGATGTTGCTGGAGTGCTCGGAATACTTTGGCCAGGTCGCGCACATGGGCAGAAACATCATTGGACTTTACGACCATGTCATCAACATAAACATCCATGCACCGACCGATCTGATCATGGAAAATTTTATGCATCAATCGCTGGTACGTGGCCCGACATTCTTCAAGCCGAACGACATCACCCGGTAGCAATAGTTGGCCGTTTCGGTGATAAACGCTGTTTTTTCTTCATCTTGAGGGTGCATGCGGATCTGGTTATACCCCGAATATGCGTCAAGGAAGGATAAGAATCAGTGGCCGGATGCCCCATCAACGAGACGATCGATATTGGGCAACGGGTAGGCGTCTTTCGGGCAAGCCTTGTTCAAGTTGGTGTAATCGGTACACATACGCCATTTTCCGTTCGGCTTTCGGACCATGACCACATTAGCCAGCCACGTTGTATAGTGTGCTTCCCGGATAAACTGTGCTTCCAATAATTTGGCGACTTCCGCTTCGATTGCGGCCTTCCTCTCTTCCCCGGTCTTTCGACGCCGCTGGGCAATCGGCCTTGCCTCCCTGCTGATTGAGAGTTTATGGCAAAGAAAATCTGGGTCGATGCCTGGCATGTCGGAGGGGTGCCATGCAAATAAATCTCGGTTGTCAAGTATTACTTGTCCGATAGCTGCTTTCTCCTGTTCCGAGAGAATGGTTCCCAGGTAAGTGAGTTGGGCGTCTGATATTCTGACCTGGAGAGGTTGCTTTTCTTCAATAGGTTCAACTCTTTCATCCTGGTCCATTCGGGGGTCAAGGTCAAGTGTCGTTTGCGATGATACCGAGTGGATACGTTTAGGTTCCTCGGTAGTTTCCGCACAAGGTTTTGGTAACCGCAGGCTGGCAAAGTAACATTCACGCGCAGTTTTTTGGTCGGCATGGACAGTGATCACCCGCCCCGAACCGGACGGAAACTTCATGGCTAGGTGAGGGGTGGAAACAATCGCGCCGAGTCTATTCAGAGATGGCCGGCCGAGCAGGATGTTGTAGGATGTATTGGCGTTGACCACCACATATTTTACCGGGATGTCACGGTATTCTGCTCCTTCAAATCCGAATCGGGTCGACAACTTGATGTACCCCTTCATTTTGACTCGTTCGCCAGAGAATCCGACCAATGGTTCGTCATACAGGACCAACTTAGACTCCGGGATGCCCAACTATTTAAACGTGCTCCAATACAAGATGTCGGCTGAACTTCCTTGATCAACCAGCATTTTGCGCACAATGCAGTTATGAATTTCAACACTGACCACCATCGGGTCGTCCTGATCCGGGTCGATCCCCCTGAAGTCGGCCTCGGTGAAGGTAATAGTAGGCAGCTGACGCCAAGCCATCTCAACGGCATGGACATGTTGAACGGCATGTAGATGTCTTCGCTGCGCCGACGAAGAAGAACCACCACCCGCAAATCTGCCTGCTATCATGTTGATGACCCGCCGAGTTTGTGAAGTAGGTTCCGGGTCTCGCCTTTCCCTGGAACGACTCCGCTCCCTATATCCGCGAGTCTCTGTTCTTCTTGGTTCAGGGTGGTCAGGCCGTCTTGACCGATCGGCATGTCGAGACGAATTGGGGCGATCCACGAAACCTTGGAGTTGTCCCTTCTTAATTAAGTCTTCGATCTTATCTTTTAGGGCTGTGCACTCCTCCGTTGAATGTCCTCTATTACGATGGTACCTGCAAGACTTCGCTGTATCAGCCCTGGGTGGGGTCGAAGCCCTTTTCGGGACGGTTAGCACTTCAGAGGCCACTGCTTGTTCTAGTATGGTTGTTCTACTAGTGTTTAGTGGTGTGTACTGCGAGTATCTTGGTCCGCGAGGGGGCCTCTCACGGGGTACCAATTCCTTAGGTCGGCTTCAGAAACTGCTTTCGGTCAGCTTTTCCGACTTGGTTGCTACCTCTGTCCTAGCTTGGTTGCGAAACTCGGCTAGCTCCTCCATCTGCATATACTTATCGGCTCTTCGCCGGAGATCGTCCATGTCGGCGGGTGGCTTCTTGCAAATGTGTCGCCACCCGCC